GTTTTGATACTAGAGTATCATTTTTAGGCTTTAATTCAATTTTTTTTGGTTGATGAAAATTGAAAACTGATATCAATAGTTAGGACGGGAAGGTAAGTGCGGGTGGGAAACGCACACAGATACATATAGTACTATGTGAAGTGAACTCCACCTTTCCTCCCGCCTTGAACTTGAGAGTTCAGTAACTTTAAAAATAGTTATCGAAAACTAGTTATTGACCAGTTAAAATTTTTAGTAGGTACATTATTCTCAATTTACAAATTTCAATATTTGCGATACTATTTATTTTTCAAAAGTTGTTATCGAAAAAACCAAGTTGGGAGGGGGATAAAAAAAAATTGTGAATAAATGAGATCCTATTGCATATAACACTATAAAAAGGAAAAAGGAAATTTCTTATTTAACTCCGAGAAATATTGAGCGGTTAACGATAAGTTGATCACCTTGCATAATGACATAACAGGATGATATTAATAATGTTATATCACCCTCTTAGTAATTAAAATACATGCAGTACCATTGTAAGCTTAATCATTAATATAATATGCATTTAATTTGCGTCATACATTTTTTTTGCAGCTTATTTTTTTGAACTATTTCTGTAATTTTATTTTCCATCTTATCGAAAACAAGTTGTTATTCACAAAAACTGTTGTTATGTATGTAAATTTATGATCAACGACTGTAGGTATCATACATTATTAAGTTTTAACATTATACATTACAAAAACTACCATCACAGAAATATTATAGTTTATTTTCGTAAACAAGTTGGTTTAAAACGCATATTGTTATGTTTTTTGTGTACTACAATGTTTAAACTATTTATTTACTTGCATTGTAAAACCATGTCTCGCGGTAAAATACTTAACATATCAAAAAAAAAAAAGCCGTGAAAATACAAAGCTAAAATATCACAGTTCCCAATAATATTGTAAAAATAATTATAATTTAGGTTTTGTACATTATTGGGTATCGATAAAAGTTTAACTATTCGAATATTCAAATCTTTATACACAATTTACACGGAGATTCTACCGTGTAAGAAATAAAACAGGTCAAACGTATACATACAAAAACAGATGCAAAACAAAATCTGCTAAGAAAAACCCCTCTTATCCATAAAAAAATTAATAATATAACCATACAAATTGTTTTTGTAAAATACGAAAATTCATATAAAATTTGAAGTTTGTAATACCTATAAGAACTTACCATTTGTTTACTTTACAATAGTCGCTGTGAAAAACACATTTTTATCTGCGCGCATTACTCTACCACACTCCACCTCCCATCCTACCTTTTAACCTTAAGTAACTTATAAATTAATTATCCAAATCTGGTTATCGACCAGTCAACATTTTCAGCAAATTGTTCTTAACAAAATGGCTATCCTAATGTTTTTTTTTTTTTTTTTTAATATAACGAAAAAAAAATAAAAACATTATTTAAAAATGTAAAATAGTTAAGTAGAATAAAAAATGTTCTGCTTATAACGCAATTGTGTATAGCAATTAGATTAGGTTACATGTTGGTTAGATCATATTTTTGCAAACCAATTCACTCACGTATAGCAACCTAGTACGCTCAGGGTGTAATTCCTCTATTTTTTTTTTTGGCTTTTTCTCAGTAAAATAAAATGTTCGAATACAAAATAAATGTACATTTTATAGGTCCATTTAAGACATACATTCGGTCTATTGTATCTTAATCAAAATGTTTACACCTGCTTATTTTGAAATTGAGTAAATACATTTTTCAAAAAACTTACTAGTGGATAAGTTAAGCGATCGTTGTTCATTAATCGGTAAGTTACATTGTAATATTATTGGGCTCGATGATCCCGGACCAAATTCCGGCAAAATATACTTTGAAACGTGGAAAATGTGTCCAAGGCACAAAGCAGCCGACTCCGAGTAGTCGGTAATTTATTTCCAGGATTTTCGGTATAAAAAAACCATTAAATGAAGGGCACTTATGTGGGTGCGTGCAGCACCGTTGTGTCACCTTAACGATATTATGTAGGTACTCTTATTTTTTTTTCGTAATAATATTTCACCTCACACTGAACAAGGGTAGGGCCAAAAATTTAGATCTATACCTAATCATGATAGTTTTGTGTACTCTTCCGTCCTAACCCTCCACTCCATCACATCCCCCCCCCCCTCATCCCCAAATGGCCTTTTGTGTTTGTCATCCAGGTTTCGGGCAATCGGCACTAATTCGTTCTGTGTTCACGATTATTACAGTAAACACCAACTTCGGGGGATACGTACTTTGTCAAATATTCATCCCGTATCGGCCCCAAAGGCGTCCCGAGTTAAGAGTTACAGCCGTAGTTGGCCGGCCAATCCTTTCCCGGTTCTATTGTTTTTGTCTGTGCTTGTGTTTTGTTTTAATTTTTTCATTTCCACCGGTAAGTAATAATGTAGTTTCGAACAAAACACACATCTGTATGCGCAGTCAAGGCCCCCAAACAATTTGCTTACACTCGAAACTATGTCAAATTTATTTTGCAAGTCGTACCTGGGTCCAGTATTAGTACAAAATACATTAAAAAAAAAATTGATAAAATTTCGACGTGCTGCTAAACTGAACTTGTCCATAATATTTAATGTTTGCAAAATATTTCCCACTTAAAAATAAAATTTTGTTTTGTATCACTTTTTTCTTTGACCAAACAATTCGATGTCATCGTTTGTGTCAAATATATCTTGTTATTGCCGACGGGAATTTATTTTTACCAAAAAACGACGATGTAATATTTATAACAATTTTTTTATAATATTCATCTTAATGAATATAAAAACGAGATGAAAGTAGATGAACGTTGATGGTAGATTTTTCTTTTCAGTTGTAATCCTTCACGATTAATTCTCATCAATATTTTTCTACCTGCCGCCAACGATTTGAAGCCCTACGACCAAGGTCTGTTGTTGTAATAATAATAACGATATTTTATTATACCTAACATATATATCGGACCTACTTGAGTTAGGATAGGACTTATTTTTAACAGTCAAAATAAAATGAAAAAATTATAAAATTTATAAACAAATATTTTATCACACGAATTATATTTATTAAATCTATAGCAATTTTACAAATTAATTAAACAATCTATTGAATATTACAAACGTATATCTCTATTGAAATATGTGTATATTTTTTTTATAAAAATGTATGTAATGTAATATTCTAGTGCATACAGTATTCTTTAATATTAATTTTTAAGAAATATATTGCAATATCTGAAAAAAATTAAATATGTCTTTGGTTTGCAAAAAACAAAAAATAATATACTAAAAACTTAACATAACATCAGTATCTATTACAAAATAATATATTTTTCAAAGGCAAATTACACTCTTAAGTCGATTTTGGAGTTGAAATGCGAAAGAACCAGGTATCTCTTTGTACAGCCTACTGCGACGTATCCATGTGGGAAAACTAAGCAATCGATTCGTCTGGAAAAATGTAAATGTTAATCAATAAAAATGACGACTACAATAGTGTTCTGAAGTCTTACATTTATTTATACCGCTATGATTGAATAATCAGTGTATATACTTGCCATCTAGAAGTTTTAACAAATACGTTATTTCATTATATATTATAACACAAAATGCGTATTCATTTTTCGATATGATGATATTCATACGTGAATCTACGTGACTCTTGTACAACATACTTTAATATTAAAACAATTAAGTACTAAATAATGAAATAAAATATTAAAAGTACAATTTGATACGAGAATGGAAAACTTGATGGCATATATAGGTAAAACATTTTTAGTTATATATTCATCGATATTTACAGAGAATAAAATTTGAAAAATTACGTTTTTTTTCTTAGAAGAAAAATGTTTAACACTTTCAGTCAACTGTGTATGCATTCCAACTATTTCTTTGTGTAGTACATATATACATAGATTTGTACAACATTCAAATATTCAAGTACGAAAATAAAATTATAATTATATTTTTAAGAATATTGTTGCTAATTTTTCCAGGAATAAATTTTAATATCATCTCTCCACCTAGTATAATGATCAATCGTACTCGTAAAGTAAAAATAGTATTAGAAATATAACTACCAACCCGTTGCGAAGCCGGCAACATTTTTAGTATTTCGTGGTACTCCGTCAATTCAATTGGCAATTTTTCTGTAAACAGTTTGTAGTTAATTAAAATAAAAATTTCAATAAATAGGTAAGTTTTTTACTACCATCATGGCCGACAACTTTGAGTACTTCTAAAACTTCTTTCTTGTCAAGGAATACCGACGGAAACTTTTCCTTCATTATGTTCACGAAATCTTTAGTCAAAATTTTGTTATTTTTAATAAAACTTTCATTCTTCTCTTCAATTTTTCTCTAAAAAAATTTGAGAAGCGCATATTGTATAATAATTTTTAATATCTTTTTTTGGTAAGGCATAGGTGCAAAAGTGTATTATACGGAATGATTCATTAATAATAGTACACAACAATTTTGTAGTTTTTATCATTATGAGACACATTAGTCATTGTTTTTTTACAATTTTAGGCCTCACTCAAACCTGTACTCTTCCTTGTAACCTATCAAATGTTGTAACTTAAATGGTGACTAACATACCTAGTTAACATTTTAATTGGAAATGATTTGCTAAGATTTTTTTTCTGATTTATAATAAATAAAAATTTATAAAAAAAATTGCGATTTGTTCGACTTATAATTTGGTTGAAGTTTCTATAGGGTTTATTTGAAATATTTGTATGGTATCAAACTTTATAAACATTTTTTCAATATCATTAAAATTTCTAAAGTTGGTAGATCTTATGAAAAATTTTAAAACTTTGGTATTTTATAATTTTACGTAGTAATAAAATAACCACAAAAACTGCAAAATTTAATAAATGGATCAGCCTAAACACTACCAAAAAAAACTGAACAAACCTGTGACAAAATACATATTATCGGTTCCATTTTTTTTGACATGTTCCAATCCTATTTCGGTTTATTTTCCGTTTATATCGGTTCTATTTTCCCCATGTTCCAGTCCTATTTCTTGGTTTAATTTTACGTTTAATATCGGTTCCATTTTTTTCCCATGTTCCAATTCTATTTTATGGTTTTCTGAAAATAATAATGGCACTTGTTGAATGCATTTTTCTTAGAATATGGTTATTTTTATATTACCCTGTAAATTAATTAAATATGTATATTCCTCTGCTTGGCGAATGGTGATAAATACTTTGAACTTTTCGTATAATAGTTTCTGTAATTCCGTTGCGGAGATAGAACCAACATTGTCGCTGTCGTATTGGTCAAAAATCTTCTTCCAATCATTTGTTGATAAGTTATTCAGATTTGGATTTATGTTCTAGAATAATATGTACAGTTAATTTTCAATCATTGGCATCTATCCAAAAAGTTATATATTTTTCAATAGTCAATTACACTCATTAGTGGCTTGTCGAGATTAGTTATAAGAGACGCAGATTCATCTCTGGCTAGCCAATGTTTTCGTATATATTGAAGAAAATCAATGTCAGGGTCGTCTGGAAAAATGTAAATGTTAATCAATAAAAATTATGGACTACGATGGTGTTTTAAGTATTTACCGTTAGTTAAACAAAAATACTTGTGTATACGTGCCATCTAGAAGTTTTAACAAATACGTTATTTTATTATATGTTATAACACAAAATGCGTTATCATTATTTTATATGATTAAATTCATACGTGAATCTACTCTTGTGCAAAATACTTAAATATTAAAGTATTTTAGTACTTAATATATAATCAAATATTAAAAGTACAATTGGATACCAGATTGAAAAACTTGACTTCAGATATAGGAAAAACATTTTCTGGAAGTTTTATTCTTCGATAGTTACAGAGAATAAAATTTTAAATAGGTTTTTTTTGTTTTAGAAGAACAAGCTTAACGTTTTTAGTCCCCGTGCATCAATTTAATACTTTCTAACTTTGTTGGCTTACACTGTGCTTGGTTTGTTCTGTACTGTCTTGAAATTACTAACTACTGATATGCATCAAAGCGTTTTTTTGAAAGTGATTTTATCACTTTTAAATTTCAAAATTCCCTTAAACCTGTGACCTCCCCTTCCCCACTATGCCCCGAACTCACTGTACTGTTTTTTTTTTTGGCAAACACATAGTGGACCAAATAACACATAATCCGTGTCTTGTTAAATTTAGTTGGAATGGTCGACGATTCATGTTTCATTCGCTTTGTACTCCATAGTTTAAATTAATAATCACTTATTTCTCAATTAAAATAATATTAATGTATTATATACTTCCATTAGAGCAATCTCACACTAACTATTCATACTTCATAGGTTATATTCTTTCAAAGCTCTATTATACTTATATTTTAATAGATTGACGAACATGTTTAAATAATATTTTTAATGAATATTGTTGCTAATTTTTCGAGGACAAACTTTGAATATTATCTTACCACTTGGTGTTATAATCAATCGTACTAATAAAGAAAAATAATATTAGAATTATAACTACGAACCCGTAGCGAAGCCGTCAACATTTTTATTATTTCGTAATACTCCGTCCATTCAATTAGTGATTTTTCTATAAACAGTTTTTAGGTAAATAAAAAACAAAGCTCAATAAATAGCTAAGTTTTTTACTACCGTCATGACCGCCAATTTTTAGTACTTCTAAAACTTCTTTCTTGTCTAAGAACATTTCCGTAAAATAACTCGCTATTTTGTCCACGAAAACTTCTCTTGATATTTTATTATTTTCATTCTCTTCAGGGTTTCTCTAAAAAAAAAAATATAAGAAGCGTATATTATTTCAATTTAATAATGACTTTTTTTGGTAAGGCTTAGATGTAAATATTTTTGTACAAGGTTAATTAATTTAATGATAATAAACATAGTTTTGTAAATTTTTCTTTGTGCTGACATATTAGTTATTGATTTTTCCATTTATGAATTATTCTCAAATATGTACTTTTCCTGGTAATCTATCAATTGTTGAATCTTAAATACTGATGTTTATACCTGGTTAAGAATTTTTCTGATGAATAATTAGTTTTGGATAGACATTTTAGAAAAAGTGTTTAAAAAAAATACACTTGCTTAACTTATAATTTGGTTGAGTTTCTATACAGTTTTTTTTAATATTTGTATATTTATGGTATACATTCTAACACATACAGTTAGATATCAAACTTTCAGTTATAACCAAAACAAATACTAAAGTCTATGGGGTTGCGATAAATTCGACTGGAAGTATAAAAACTAAGAAAATTCTAGTGTGGTAAAGATGAGACAACCGTTCTACATTTTAAGCTACTCCCATCATAAATTTTTATTACATATTTTCATTATCATTAAAATTACTAAAGGTGGTAGATCTGAAAATAACCGCAAAAACTGCAAAATTTAATAAATAAATCATCCTCTACAGTAACAAAAAAACTGAACAAACCTGCGACAAAACAAATAGTATCAGACTCATTTTTTTCAACTGTTTCAATCTTATATTATGGCTTTCTGAAAATAATTAAGGAACTTGTGGAATAAATATTTCGTAGAATATGGTTTTTTTTGTTCTTACCCTCAGAATTAGGGGTCTGGGATGTAAGTGCCCTTATATATTTCCTTGCATTGCGAATGGTGATAAATACTTGGAACACTTCGTAAAATAATTTCTGTAATTCCGTTTCGGAGATTAAACCATTATTGTCGCTGTCGTATTGGTTAAAAATCGTATTCCAATAATTTGTTGATAAGTTATTCAGATTTGGATTTATATTCTAGAATAATATGTACAGTTAATTTTCAATCATTAGTGTCTATTTAGAATGTTATATTTTTCAATGGTCAATTACAATCATGCGTCGATTCTCAAGCTTAGGTATGATATACGCAGACTCATCGCTGAACAGCCAATGTTTACGTATATAGTGAAGAAAATTAACATTAGGGTCGCCTGGAAAATGTTAATGATTAAATTGACGACTACAACGTTGTTTTTAACTATTTACCGTTAGTTTTGTAATCCTTGTGTATACGTGCCATCTAGAAGTTTTAACAAACATGTTATTCTATTATATGTTATAACACCAAATGCGTATTCATTAATCGATAGGATTAAATTCATACGTGAATTTACTTTTGTACAACATACTCAAATATTAAAATATTTAAGTACTAATCAAATAAATGAAATATTAAAAGTACAATTTGATACCAGAATGGAAAACTTGTCGGCAGATATAGGAAAAACATTTCTTAGAAGTTATTTTTTCACCGATAACTACAGAGAATAAAATTAGAAAATGTACGTTTTATTACTAGTATAACTGCTAATTTCCCGAGGACAACATTTTAATATCATCTTTCCACCTGGTGTTATGATCAATCATACTAATAAAATAAAAATATTATTAGAATTAAAACTACCAACCCTTAGCGAAGCCGTCAACATTTTTATTATTTTGTAGTACTCCTTTGATTGAATAGGTAATTTTTCTATAAACAATTTTTAGATAATTAAAAATAAAATTTAAGACATAGTCAAGTAGTTTACTACCATTATGGCCGACAACTTTGAGTACTTCTAAGACTTCTTTCTTGTCTAAGAACATTTCCGTAAAATAACTCGCTATTTTGTCCACGAAAACTTCTCTCGACAGATTATAATTTTTAATAGAGATTTCATTCTCTTCAGTATTTCTCTAAAAAAAAATTTAAGAAGCATATATTATTTCAATTTAATAATGACTTTTTTCGTAAGGCTTAGAATATTTTTGTATAGGTTAAGTAATTAAGGACAATAAACATCAATTTTGTAGTTTTATCTTTGTGCAACATAGTAACACGAATAATAGTTATTGTTTTTTACAAATGTAAATCATACTCAAACCTGTAATTTTCCTGGTAATCTATCAATTGTTAAAACTTAAATGGTGACTTATTTATCTAGTCAATATTTTTTCTGACCAAAGATTAGTTTTGGATAGACATTTAAAGAAACCAGTACAGTGGGGTCGGGGCATAGTGGCGAAGCACAATGGTGGGGACACAGGTCACAGGTCTACAGGATTTTTTAAATATGAGTGTGGTTAAATAACTTTCGAAAAAACGCTTCGATGCAAATCGGTAGTTAGTATTTTCAAGCCAGTACAGTCCAAACCAGTATAAACCAGCAAAGTTAGAAAGTTTTAAATTAAGGTTCTGTATTTACAAATGAGCATCAAAGCGTTTATTTGAAAGTCATTTTATTCACTTTTATAACTTTGATTCAAAACAATCCCTGTAGACCTGTGACCTCTCCGTCGCCTCGTTGCTTTGATTCCATTATGCCTTTATTCTACTGTACTAGGCCTCTCGGATAAAATCATACAAACGGAACGTACACTTGCAGGCCGTGTCACACTTTTCATATAAATGTTCACTTAAAAATTACACGAACATAATAAAAAAACGATTATCAACAAACAATATTCTTATAGTTTTCACTTTTGCAAAAATAAAGTCTATTATTTTTGTGTTAAACTTTTATCAGTTATCAATTCATGAATGTCATAATATTATCTACACACCTTAATTACAATATGTTCACGATTAAAGATTACTCGGTCAGGCGAATTGATAATTAGAACAACTATTGTATAATGAACTCATGTTATTATTTCTCACGAAATGGCTGCCAATTTAGAGTTACTTAAATCAAATTTAGTAAATCCGCAAAACGCAGAGTTCTGTTATAATCTACTTTATATCAACTGTAACCTAATAATCAAGTTATGTTGATAAATTGTTTTTATTAAATAATATAAATTTATAATGTAATCCTCAAACTACGTCATAAACGTTTTACTCTGCATACATGTTACAACCAGAATAAAAACAAGCGTTTTTGTAGACAAGATTTAGAAATAATATATAAAACAAACAGACAATTTTCTGTATCAACTAATATCATTGCATAGGAGATAAAAGCGTACAACAACATGGCGTTCGTGTACACGATGATACCAACAGAACAAAATTAACACTATTTTTTTTATTTCTCACACCTGGTACACTTTGTTTGGACGTATGCGGGAATACCAAATAAATAAATATTCCATTCGACTCTTTTTCTCGAAATTATTGCCAGTATAAGTTCTAACTTAAAAACTCTTACGGTATTTTTTTAGTTTTTTCAAATTTCAATTGTAAAGAAATAAATTTTTTGAACTCTTACCCCCCAAAGTACCAACTAGATGAATCTTGTAATTTATAGATTGGCTACTCGAAGGAATTGGTCCAGTATTAAAAAAGTTATAGTGTATACAGTTAAAAAAAAACCCACATCAGGGTAAAACCAATACCTTCGCAGCTCTGCATCGAAACTAAAAAGTGTTAAAAAAAATTAAGATTTGTTTAACTTATAACTTGGGTTGAATTTCTACAATGTTTAGTTGAAATGTTTGTATGGTTTATAGTACAAAATATCTAACACATAAAGTTAGATATTAAAACTTTCAGTAACAACCAAAACAAATATCAAGTTCAATGGGGTTGAGGAAAATTCGACTAAATGCATCCAAACTTACAAAATTGTAAGAGTGCTAAGTATGAATCAACCTTCAAACATTTTAAGCTAATTATTACTCTCATCATAAAAAGTTATAAGCATATTTTGCATTATCATTACAATTTCTAAAGTTGGTAGATCTTCTGGACATTTTTAAAACTTATTTTATAATATTACACAATGGTATAATAACTGCATAAACTGAAATATTAAATAAAAAGATCAGCCTCTACAGTAACAAAAATAAACTAAACAAACCTGTGACAAAATAACAATTATCGGTCTCATATTTTTCACCTGTTTCAATCCTATTTCATAGTTTTCTGAAAATAGTTAAGGCACTTGTTGAATGAATATTTCTTAGCATATGACTTATTTTTTTTTACTCTTTAAATTAATTAAATATGTATATTCATTTGCTTGGCGAATGGTGAGAAATACTTGGAACTCTTCATATAATAATTTCTGTAATTCCGTTGCGGAGATTGAACCTACTTTCAGGCTGTCATATTGGTTAAATATGTACTTCCAGTCCGTAATTAAGTTATACAGATATGGATTTGTATTCTAGAATAATATATACAGTTAATTTTCTGGGAATCATTTTATTAAGAAATGGAAATAAGTTATGTTGAAAAGTTAAAAGTTTTAAAATTGTATGAAGAAAAGAAAACATAATTTTTTGCACTAAAAACTTAAATTTAAACTTAGGGTTACCTCAAAACATCTAGTTTATGCTAAATACAAACGTTAAAAAAATTTAAGAAAAGCATAAAGTGTTTATTTTTTATATTTATAACAAATCGAATGATATAATATTTTCAGATTTTGATGTGTTTATTTGGTGCTTTTATGCATTTAATAACCATTCTAAAATAAAAAAATCGAATTACAAAAATAATTATTCGAAAAAAATGTTATTCCAATTAATCGAATAACAATTTGCACCACTCTGCTTACAATGTTCTTTATACAATAATCATTATAATTTATATCAGAAAAAAGTTACCGTTTATATATTTTTACGGCAATAGAATTTTATGTTATTTAAGACATGTTTACAGTAAGCGTTTGATTAATATTTTTGAATTTTTGATACATACCACCCAAGTGGGACCATCATCCGCTTTAAAACTCACGACACACAAAAGTAATATAATATTTTTTGAAAACATAATTAAAAATATATACGCGGCTTGTGTTACGAGACCAGCTAGTAAATGAAAATGGTTTTCTGCTATTTTGTTATTGTAACATTATTGTGTTCTTATTTCAACATTAGGACAGTGTTTTCGCACCAAGTTTTTATGACTTAGTTTTAAGTACATACAACTGTATATTTTATAAAATATTGGTGCACGACAAAATACAAAAAATATATAAAAATGAATATCGAACCGTATCGTTCCGAAGGTCTGGCCTGTAAAATAATAATAAATCGGCATAGTTTCGCATTTGTTTAATTTGCGTTTAAAATCACGGCAACGCGGTGCACACGAGTCGTTACCGTTATTATGTATGATGTGCAATTTAGCCGGCTGCACATTACATATTAGACATGAAAAATAGTTTACGAGCATTGTTTATAATAATAATAATAATAATATTATAGTGTCGGCGAGGCGGTGTTTCGTGATCATAACTATTATTATTATTTTACAACTTGGCATCGGTTAAAATCACTATCGTCTGTATCTGAAAAGATCCCGGCGAAACCGACCGGAAGACGACATGATCTGCGTTTACATTTTAAAAATATGTTTTTAGCTTGCAATTAAAAAAAAAAAAAACTAAAAACTTACAACAAATTATTGGGATCTTTTCTTGAATGTTATATCTTATACTAATGTTTTGTCGACTAGATTGTAGAATGTCAAGGACAAAAATTGAATATTTTCATCTTTTCACCCGGTAGTATGATCAATCATGCTGATAAAGTAAAAATGATATTGAAACAATAACTACTAACATGATTTGAAGCCTCCAATATTTTTAGTATTTCGTAGTACACCGTCAATTCAGTTGGTAATATTTCTGTAAGCAATTTGTAGATAACTAGGAAACGAATTTCTATAAATAGTTAAGTTATTTACTACCAACTCTTCCTACCCCATTTTATCACTTTCTAAAAATAATTAAGGCTTTTGTAAAATGAATATTTTATAGAACATTATTTTATTATTATAACTATTATTACTATTAGTATAAAGTGTGTACAACTGTTTATTTTATAAAATAATTACTCTTGATATTCAAGTTGAAAAATAGTAGATTTTCAGGTAAATTATAAAGTCATAATAGATATATTGCTTTAGAATTAGGTTTGATTATAAACTTTTTAAGTTATAAACATAATATAAAGCGAAAAGGTAAATGATAGGAATATATTGTATCCAACAAAGTTTAATGGAAAAATTAAAAAAAGGAAAAACAAATATTTCATTACATGAATTATATTTATTAAATCTATAGCAATTTTACAAATTACCTAAACAATCTATTGATTATTAACAACCGTTTATCTATATTAAAGTGTATGTATATTTTTATATAAAAATGTATGTATTGTAATACTCTAGTGCATACAGTATTCTTTAATATTAATTTTCAAGAAATATATTGTAATATATGAAAAAAATTTAAATATCTTTTGGATTGCAAAAAACAAAATAATAATATACGAAAAACTTAACATAACATCAGTATCTATTACAAAATGTTATATTTTTCAAAGGCAAATTACACTCTTAAGTCGATTGTGGAGTTTAAATGCGTAAGAACCAGGTATCTCTCTGTACAGCTCACTGCGATATATCCATGTGGGAAAACTAACCAAAGCTTTGTCTGGAAAAATGTAAATGTTAATCAATAAAAATGACGACTACAATAGTGTTCTGAAGTCTTACATTTATTTATACCGCTATGAGATTTATAATCATGGTATATAAGCGCCATCTAGAAGTTTTAACAAACAAGTTCTTCTATTATATATTATAACACAAAATGCGTATTCATTTTGGAAATGATTAAATTCATACGTGAATCTACGAAACTCTTGTCAAACATACTTAAATATTAAAGTATTTAAGTACTAAATAAATAAACAAAATATTAAAAGTACAATTCGACACGAAAACGAAAAACTTGAGGGCAGGTATAAGTAAAACATTTTCTGAAAGATGTTTATTCATCGACAATTAAAGAGAATAATATTGGAAAAATTACGTTTTTATTTATCTTAAAAGAACATGTTTAACGTTTACACATCTTCGTTCCATTTGAACGGCATAACAAAATAAATATTGTCCTAAAATTACATTAAAACTGTTTCTTTGTGTAGTAGATATACATATACATATGTATAATGTGAAAATATAATATACAGAATACTGTAGAACTTATAAGTTTGCTCTAAAGACAAAATACAAAACAATAATTTCGAAAGATTTCCGAATAAAAAATGTTTTTCAAAATTCAAATATTCAAGTACGAAAATAAAATTTTAATTATAATTTTAATGAATATTGTTGCTAATTTTTCGAGGACAAAATTTTAATACCAACTCTCCACCTGTTATTATGATCAATCGTACTTATAAAGTAAAAAAAGTATTAGAATTATAACTACCAACCCGTTCCGAAGCCGGCAACATTCTTAGTAGTTCGTGGTACACCGTCAATTCAATTGGCAATTTTTCTACAAACAGTTTGTAAATAATTAAAAATTAAAATTCAATTAATAGTTAAGTTTTTTACTACCGTCATGGCCGACCACTTTGAGTACTTCTAAAACTTCATTCTTGTTCCACATCACCGGAAACTTTTTCTCTATTATGTTCACAAAATCTTCAGTCAAAATTTTGTTATTTTTAATAAAACTTTCATTCTCTTCAATTTTTCTCTAAAAAAATTGAGAATCGCATATCGTTTAATAAAATTAATTTTTGGTAAGGAACAGATGCAAAATTGTAATATACCGAATAATTCATTAATAATAGTTGGTAGATCTTCTAAAAAAATTTAAAACTTTGTTGTTATTGTTTTTTTTACAATTTTAGACCACACTCAAACCTGTACTCTTCCTTGTAATCTATTAATTGTTGAAACTTAAATGGTGACTAACATACCTAGTTAACATTATAATTGGGAATAATTTGCATAGATTTTTTTCTGATCTATAATAAGTTTAACAACGACATTTTAAAAAAAGTGTTAAAAAAATTTGAGATTTAATTAACTTATAATTTGGTTTATTTGAAATATTTGTATGGTATAAAATGTTATAAAAATTTTTACATTATCATTAAAATTTCTTTTTTTAAAGTTGGTAGATCAAACTTTTGGTATTATATAATATTAAGCAGTAGTAAAATAACCGCATTAATAAATAGATCAGCCTAAGCAGGTACAAGAAAAACTGAACAAACCTGTGACAAAATATATATTATCGGTTCCATTTTTTCAACCTGTTCCAATCCTATTTCATAGTTTATTTTCACGTTTAATATCGGTTCCTTTTTTTCGACATGTTCCAATCCTATTTCATGGTTTATTTTCTCGTTTATTATCGGCTCTCTTTTTTCCCCATGTTTCAATCCTATTTCTTGGTTCAATTTCTCGTTTAATATCGGTTCCATTTTTTCCCCATTTTCCAATTCTATTTCATCGTTTATTTTCACTTTTATTATCGAATCCATTTTTTTCCCATGTTTCAGTTCTATTTTATGGTTTTCTAAAAATAATAATGGCACATGTGGAGTACATATTTTTTAGAATGTGGTTTTTTTTTTATTACCCTGTAAATAAATTAAATATGTATATTCCTCTGCTTGGCGAATGGTAATAAATACTTTGAACTCTTCGTATAGTAATTTCTGTAATTCCATTGCGGAGATTGAACCACCATTGTCGCTGTCGTATTCGTTAAAAATCTTCTTCCAGTTATTTGTTGATAAGTTATTCAGATTTGGATTTATGTTCTAGAATAATATGTACAGTTAATTTTCAATCATTAGTATCTATTTAGAATGTTATATTTTTCAATGGTCAATTACAATCATGCGTCGATTCTCGAGCTTAGGTATGATATACGCAGACTCATCGCTGAACAGCCAATGTTTACGTATATATTGAAGAAAATCAATGTTAGGGTCGTCTGGAAAAATGTAAATGTTAATGAATAAAAATGACCGCTACAATGTTGTTTTAACTATTTACCGTTAAATAAACAAAAATCCTTGTGTATACGTGCCATCTAGAAGTTTTAACAAATACGTTATTTTAAATAAAATTAATAAAATTTTAAAAATTATAAGTTATTTATCTAGAATGAACACGTTTAAATAATATTTTTAATTAATATTGTTGCTAATTTTTCGAAGACACAATTTGAATATCATCTTTCCACCTAATGTTACCTGGTGTACTAATAAAGTAAACATATAATTAGAATTATAACTACCAACCTGTAGCGAAGCCGTCAACATTTTTATTATTTCGTGGTACTCCGTCAATTTAATTGGTAAATTTTCTGTAATCAATTTGTAGATAATTAAAATACAAATTTCAATAAATAGTAAAGTTATATACTACCGTCATGGCCGAAAACTTTGAGTATTTCTAAAACTTCTTTCTTGTCTAAGAACATTTCCGAAAAAAAACTCGCTATTACGTCCAAGAAAACTTCTGTCGAAATGTCATTATTTCCAATCTCCTCTTCTCTCTAAAAATTTTATATGAAGCGTATATTATTTAAATTTAATAATGATTCTTTTGGTAAGGCTTAGATTTAAGTATTTTTGTAAAGGTAAATTAATTAAGGATAATAGTTTTATAGGTTTTTTCTTGTTTTTTTTACAATTGTAAATCAAATTCAAATCTGTACTTTTCCTGGTAATATATCAATTGTTGAAACTTAAATGGTAAGTTACACGTCGCTGTAAATTGCGGCCCGAGTATATTTTATATATATATGTAAATTGCGGCCTGAGTTTATTTTATACAATTGCACCTAGGTATATTGTGTGTACATACACGGAAAAAAAAACATAGTTGTAAATTTTTAGTGGAATCAACTACACAGTTAGTTGGGCCAACTATTTATTTAGTTATTCGAACTAGAGATGTATTGTGTAAATGTATTATGTATTGAACCAACTATGTATTTTTTTCCGTGTAATTTAATTGAGTTGTAAGTTATTTTTTTTTTGCACTCTATAACTAAATAAAAAGCTGTGTGTAGTCTTTGAAGGTAGCAAAATATAAACTAGAGGAACGTAAGACTGATTTTTTAATTCAGAATGGAAAATTTTAGATGGCCTAGTGAACATATCGTCAACTATGACTGTTTCTAACTGCACCCCGTTTCTATCGTACGGCAGGTCACCGAATAATAGGCATTCAATCGCTCCACTAAAAACAAAATATCCTAGGTTTGCAGGACGTTGCCAAATTTAAATTTTGGATTTACTCAAAAAATGAAGAAAAATCACGTTGTAGTAAATTTAACTTAAGTCACCCGAATGATATTAATATCCCGAGAGGCAGTTTACGTATATATAAAATAAATCCAGGCTATATCAACATATACAGTTTGATATTTAAACAATCAGTCACAACTAAAACAAATATCAAGTTCTAAGAGATTTAGGTAAACTCGACTACACACATCAAAACTAAGAAAATTCTAGAAAACTAAGTATAATCAACCTTTAAACATTTAAAGCTAATTACTCCAATCATAATATATTATAAACAGTATTGACATTGTTAGCATTTTTATATTATATAGTGCTATTTAACTCTACTGTAACAAAAAAGACTGAACAAACCTGTGACAAAACAAATATTATCGGTCTCATTTTTTTCAATAGGCTCAGTCCGATATTACGGCTTTCTGAAAATAATTAGGGCACTTGTTGAATGAATATTTCGTAGAATATGGATTTTTTGTTCTTACCCTCAGGTATAGGGGTATTGGATATAAGTGCCGCTATATATTTCCTTGCATTGCGAATTGTGAGAAATACGTGGAACTCTTCGTATAATAATTTCTGTAATTGCATTTCGGAGATTAAACCATTATTGTCGCTTTTGTATTGGTTAAAAATCTTCTTCCATTTATTTGGTGACATGTTATTTAGATTTGGATTTATATTCTAGAATTATATGTAAAGTAAATTTTCAATCATTTGTATCTATTCAAAATGTTATATTTTTCAATGGCCAATTACAATTATGTGTCGATACTCGAGATTAGGTATGGAACACGAAAAATGATCTTTGGCCATCCAATGTTCACTTATATATTGAAGGATATCAACATTAGGGTCGCCTGGAAAAATGTAAATGTTAATCAATAAAAATGACGACTACAACGTTGATTTTAACTATTTACCGTTAGATTTGAAATTCTTGTGTATACGTGTCATCTAGAAGTTTTAACAAACATATTTTTCTATTATGTTTTATAACACAAAATGCGTATTTATTATTCGATATGATTAAATGCACACGTGAATCAACTCATGTACAACATACTTAAATATTGTTTTATTTTAGTACTAAATAAATAAATGAAATATTAAAAGTACAATTCGATACGAAATGAAAAACTTAACGGCAGATATAGTTAATACATTTTCGGAAAGTTATTTATTCATCAATTATTACAGAGAATGAAATTTGAAATTTTGCTTTTTTTATCTTAGAAGAATGTGATTTCAGTCCCCTGTGCCATTTGAATGGCAAAACAAAATAAATGTCGTTCTAAATTTACAATTAAAAAACCTAAAAAATATAAATGTTTGCTCTAGAGACAAAAGAAAAAACGATAATATTGATAAAAAAAATGTTATAAAAATATTTAAGTACTAAAACAAAAAAAATTTTTTTTTTAATTATAATTTTTTTATCTAAGATAAAGTTGTTTAAATACTATTTTTAATGAGTATTACTGCTAAATTTCCGAGGACAAAATTTTAATGTCATCTTTCCACCTGGTGTTATGATCAATCGTATTAATAAAGTAAAAATATTATTAGAAACAAAACTACCAACCCGTAGCGAAGCCGTCAACATGTTTATTATTTTGAGGTACTCCTTCGATTTAATTGGTAATGCATCTAAAACCAGTTTGTAGATAATTAAAATGAAATTTAATAAATAGTCAAGTAGCTTACTATCATTATGGCCGACAGCTTTGAGTACTTCTAAAACTTCTCTCTTGTCTAAGAACAGTTCTGTAAAATAACTCGCAATTTTTTCGGCGAAAACTTCTCTAGACAGATAATAGTTTTCAATAGAATTTTCATCCTCCTTTCTGGTTTTTCGCTAAAAAATTTTTTTTTCAATTTTTCACAATTTTTTTTGTTTTTACAGCCCTCCCAACTTAGTTTTTTTGCTAGAAATTGTTTAAATATAAATGGTAATGTTTTTAAGTTAGGATGGGGGGCAGTGCAGTGGGGAAAGGCGTGCAGATAAATATAATACTACACTCCACCTTTCCTCCTGCCCTAAACTTGAAACTTCAATACCTTCAAAAACAGTTATTCGAAACTAGTTATCGACCAGGTAACATTTTTAGTGCATTATTGTTAACTTAAAAAGTTAATAAAATTTATATGTTACTATTTAAGTTTTAAAAGTTGCTATCAAAAAAACTGCTTTGGGAGGGGGTAAAAACAAAAATATTGTGAAAAACTGACATCACATTGTATAACAACAATAAAAAAAACCTAAGAGATATTAAGTAGTTCATAATAAAGGAATCACCTAGATATTGTTTCAATTTAAAATGACTTTTTTTGGTATGGCTTAGATGCAAATATTTTTGTACAGGATAATTCATTAAGGGTAGTAAACATTTAGCTATTGTTTTTTTAAAATTTTAAATCACTCTTAATTCTGCACTTTTCCTGGTTATCTATCGACAGTTGAAACTTAAATGGTGACTTATACACCTGGTTAAATGTTTTCTGATCAATAATTCGTTTTGGATAGAATTTTTAAAAAAAGCGTTAAATTACCATTCGTTGAACTTATAACTTGGTTTGACTTTCTATAATGTTTATTTAAAAATGTTTGTATGGTTTAAAGTACTAATTATCTAACACATAAAGTTAGATATTAAAACTATCAGTAACAACCAAAACAAATATCAAGTTCTATGGGGTTGAGATAAATTCGACTGAAAGCATCATAACTTACAAAATCCTAGAATTTTAAGTTAATTACTTTCATCATAAAATTTTATAAGCATATTTTCAAAATCATTATAATTTCTAAAGTTGGTAGGTCTTAGGTATTTTACAATATTACACAGTAATAATATAATAACTGTAAAAACAGCAAATTTTATTAAATAGATCAGCCTACACAGTAACAAAAAAAACTGTACAAACCAGTGATAAAATAATTATTATCGGTCTCATTTTTTTCACCTGTTTCAATCCTATTTCATAGTTTTCTGAAAATAATTAAGGCACTTGTTGAATGAATATTTCTTAGAATATGGCTTATTTTTTATTACTCTTTAAATTAATTAAATATGTGTATTCATTTGCTTGGCGAATGGTGAGAAATACTTGGAACTCTTCGTATAATAATTTCTGTAATTCCGTTGCGGAGATTGAACCTACTTTCAGGCTGTCATATTGGTTAAATATCTGCTTCCATTTCGTAGTTGAGCCATACAGATGTGGATTTATAATCTAGAATAATATATACAGTTAATTATCCGGAAATCATTTTATTAAGAAAGAGAAATTGCACTACAAACTTAAACTTTAACTTAGGGTAACCCGAATATCTAGTTTTTATTAAGTATAAACGTTAAAAAAATTTGAGAAAAGCAAAAAGTATTAATTTTTTACATTTATA